ATAACTAAGAAATATCATTTAACTATCTTAATGAACATTTATCTGCTTCCTTGACATATTTTAATTTTAAAACTTGCCTAATTGAATATCATATACCTATATTTAAAAATAATAATATTGTAAAATTAACAATACTCCGATGTTAATTGAATCGGTTATTCTCTTTATTCAAGACAAATTTTTAGATTTTTTTACTTTTCTCTAATGTGACATAACAAATTATTAAAACTTTATTGTTTTATTAATTAATAAATCTAATTTAAAAACCAATAATTGTAATTTTTTAGTTCACCACCAAAGTTAATGATGCAATTTATAAATGTAGCGAATGTTAATCAGAAGAATTGAGTTGGACGTGGAAAAGAAGTACAATAGGAAAGTTGAAAATAAGAGAATTAGTTGTCTGCTAAGGAGTTAGGAAGAGCAGTTAGAAATTAAATGGTTAATATTTTGGTTTACTCATGGGGTCAGTTAAAATGGAGAAGAATTAAAAGAAAACTTAAATGGATTGTGGGGAAGTAAACTGGGTCCTGTCCGAAAGGAAATTCGACGACGAGCAGTGTAACAAAACGTGATGTTGATATACGCATTCTTAATTTTGTTAACTTTATTTATATAATAAAAACATGTTTACAATTTTAACAATATATAATAATAAATATTTATCTTACAACATAATAAGAAGGAGAGATATAAATATCACACAGGTATGCATAAGCATACATTTACAATAAAAATTACTCTTTACCGAGTTCACAAAGATCCACAACATTCAGATAATATTTTGGGCTACTCACAATGCTGTTATGTCAGTGGACGTACTAGGAGATTTACATGATTACCAACGTGATACTCACAGTATGCTACGCTAATATATAGCGTAACTTATGGCAACGTCGAACGACTCTCTAGTACGCTGTGGACCACGGCAAAGTTATGTGTAATACCAACAGGGAGATAACGTCTGGAAACTCCGGATACTGATGTCGAGTAAGCATTCCTCCTGGTGGTGACTCGTTCAAACTCGGACGGCGACGGCTCACTTCACCAGTAGTGGCGGCTCCTTGACTCCTCCGGGTGGTTTCTGAAGTGGACGCTGATCTCAACTGCACTTGATGGCAACGATCCGTACGGCGGCTGTTGAGCAGTAGGAGAAAAAAGTCTGATTGTCTGTACGTTAAACTTGACGTATATTTCGGGTTACATACAACAACCGTATTCGTTTATCCAATGGACAGTACAAATAGGTACCGAGGGGAAGTTAATATAAGATTCATTTCGTTGATATTATATACAAGAATGTTCTATATTCAGTTACCAGCGTTGTCCGTGAATACCATACAGTACAGTAAGAATAACGTGCGGATCGTAAACGGCGACGACCGCCACGCTATCTTGATATTCTTATAAGTATAAAAAATAATCCGACCGCACTGACGGATTGTTTATTGTGTGCGCGCTCTATTGATTATCAACAGATTAATCGATAATATCAATTTCGTAAATCATTAGTACTCCGTCAGGGTGAAATGTAACCATGTGATAGATATTGGAAAGTATGCTGTCTCGTTACAGCAAGTGTCTTGAAATATCCCTAAAGTTCCTGAACTTTATATGGCTTTGAGGGGAAATAAATTCAATGGCATATAGTAAAGTTGGATGAAAAGAGGATCAAAAGAGATTGCCAAGCAATATGTAGAAGTTTTTGGTTGATAGGAAGCAGATGGGAAGCTGGTATTTTAAATATAGAAAGACGGTCTGAAAATGCAGTTAAAATTACTGACCGTTGACGATAATAACAACCCATCTAGGATCCCAAAGTTAGTTAATAATTTGACTATGATAAGATGGACAGTTAGGAATTTAACGATAAGAACAAACTAGTGCACAATGCAATTATATTATATTATATTATTTAATTATATGATTTTGAATAAACTCGGATTTAAAATTATATAAAATTATTTATTGTATATGATTGTAATATTTTTATTTTATAACATAGACACTGAATCGACATTGTTCGATAAATTATATGAAAAGCAGAATAATTGAATGCGGTAGTAATTAATAACTGTTTTGTTTTTTTATCTTCAATGGCTATAAACGAGGATACACCTGTTGAGCGATTTTTTCTGTCGATTTATCTTTTTAAATACTAAGCGTAATCAAATCATACACGGTGCGGTGTAAACAAGACGAAGGCCCCTGGACTGAAAAGAAAAAAAACGACCGCGACGAAAGAAGGCCGACGGAGAAAGACGCTCATGTAGGATAAAACAAGAACGCAGGGATCGAATGGTACCCTTGGTATTTGCAATCAGTGTCATAACTAAATTACTTGAGAACTGTGCGAAAATCAAAATCTTGAGGTCCGTTATCATTATAGATTTTGAGCATTTGTTCTTTTGAGGCCCTATAATACATAGAATGAGGCTCGGGGTCTGTGTGCAATGCACAATCTACGCATCCGATTTTTACGACACTGTTTGTAATTTTTATTTGCCCTTCCATGTGGCGTTCAACACGAGACGGTGAACACGTATGATAATAATAGTCCGATCAAATTTACGGGCAAGAACCCGGAGTAGTGATGTTCGGTGTAACGCGGCGACGATGGCTGGTGGTGTGAAGAATGATCCGGCGGAACGAACACGTGTAATAGCAAAGTTATGACAGCGCAAAAGCGTGCATGCAAGCCTTACGATATGCATACCGAACCACCAGGGGCATATTTAGACTTACTTATAAGGGGGAAGATTCAAATTTGTCTTTTATTTAGGCTCAACATTTACAAGTAAATTTTTTAGTAATATTAAAATCTGATGAATCCTTAATATTTGTGGTTTTTTATTTTTAATCTATGCCGGATCCACTTAGAATAGACTTTTGTGTAGTTCTTATTTAACACCTGTTTGTGTTTTGAAAGTTATGCTTGTGATTTTTTTGATTTTTCATTAAGTATGAACCCGACAAAAAGCCCGATTCAGTATTCACAGCCACGCGAAATTTGATTTCGTTATAAAATAATCCACATTAAAAAAAATTGAAATCTGTATCTCACATATAATTTATTTCTTAAATATGGTTTCAGGGAGGGGACAATCGTCTAAAATACCCTATCCCCCTAAAATACGCCCCTGCGAACCACACGCGAAGCGAAGGCGCAGCAATCGTGTCTTTCGTTTTTCACCACCGACTCCGCGCACCCACACTGATCTCACCCCCGTGCGACCACTCGAATGTATATTGTCGCTATCGACTGCCAATTCTGTAGTGGAGTTCAAGATTCGGCCTATGTAATCCAAGTGCAGTTCAATTCAATTATGTGCAAATTGACGTACGTTACCCATTGAAACGAAGGAATTTCGCATACGGTTATAGTTGTCATCGAGTCGAAAACCGTGAACGAAACGTAATATATTTGAGAATTATATACACCGTATTATAGTTCGGTACAGGTACTAGCAGATTGCGCGCACGTACACGTGTACGAAATATATTACATATGCATACAAGTTATATGTTTACATGTGTTGCATATTCGTATTACAAAAGTAATAATAATATTATGTGTATAACTTTTCGTGAAAAATTTTACGTTTCGACAAAAACATTTTTGATTAATGTGCTTGCTGCGACCGTAACCGATTGCTCAGAATAATTTCACATGTTTCCGAAACGAAGAAATAACGCAAGAGAAAAATCCTGAACTAGCATACATCACGGACAGATATTATAATAATATATAAATGTTCGCATCACAAAAGACTCAAGTCGACGTAACATCACGCTGTTTCGGAAATCGCCGCAGTCACGTGAAGTCTTGAAGCCCAAAGTATGAGTGACATATCAAAATATTTCAGGGAAAATATCCCATGATAACAAAATAGTGGACCTATATATAATTATAAATGTTAATGCACCCGTAGAGGTTAAAAATCGTAATTGAACTAATATAGGACGAGTTGTTACAATATTTTCGTTGTTTTTATCGATTTTGATTATATTAACTTAATTATTTGAATAAAACATCAATCAAAATTTCATTTAAAGTATGTTATCATTTAATTTTACCCATTTATAATGAATAACATATTTTTTGAAAAAAAAAATTATATCATTTTACTCGTATATGAAATCAATATTTTATAAAAAGTCGATTACGTTAAAACGGTATTGTATGTATAGTAATAGTTGGTTATGTATCTAGTTGAGTAAAACGATGATGATGATAACATTTATAATGAAGCACGTCTGGTGCCTTTTATCGTATATTTTTTATATTAATTTCCGGCGGGAGGAAAACAGTTGGGTTCAATTTCAATAGACAATAAAGATTCAAGGCCTAAAAAGTATTTTCGGTTTTTCATGGAAAAACATCCCTTTTTCTTTATTCTTTTTAATGTAATTGAAAAAAGTAGTTTTTCAGATTATATAAATATATATATATATATATATATAATTTATTTTTTTCAAATGATTTCAATCAAATTCGATTAATATTGCCGTTTGACAGCTTTAAGCTCTACCGATTGTTGATGTGCTCCTTGTACGTGTTTAATACAAAAACAATGTAGTAAAAGTACGAAGATCCTTTGCAAATGGTACTGAATGATAAATGGACCTTTTACGTAGTAAAACGTTTATTCATTTGGGCGTGTCCAACTCACTTCTTTTTAATACACCGGACACATCGCCTTATACTGGAGGCAATGCGTAGAAGAAGGGTTAGGATAGGGATGATACTGAAATAGATCCAGGGCCTTGAAATTAGAAAACACTTTTGGGATTTTGTGTTTGTCTCCGGCAGAATCTACGACGAAGAAGGGAAGAGAAAAAAGTGTCCTTATCGGTTGTCTGAAAGACAAATGGTCTTTGTAAACGAACAATATCCATGGAAAATAAATTTATCTCCTAACATTCGTTTTTCTTGCATGATTATTTTAAAAATTGTATTTCTGTATTTTTATTTTTATTTTTTTGTTTTTACCCTCCAGGGATCCAAACAATCACGACGATAAGCTCGATTCCGGGTCCAAGGAGAGGAACAGGTTTCGAAGCGTCACGTGGGACGAATACGACCCAGTGCACCAAAAGTATTTAGAAATAAGTAAGTAGCATCAAATTATAAGTAGATTAATTTATGATTTGATTTTTCGTCTGAAAAATTATATTTTTGTTCTCTTTATTTTTCAAAAACATACGCCAATGAAACTTAAGTCTATTTATTTATTCAACCATTTTGCCTTCTCATAAATGTTAAGCTATAACAAAACGAAATACCATTTAACGATGTTAGACCCACATTAAAAAAAATTCTAATGATTTTCTTCTTTCGCGCGACCTGCATAATCAATACGAAACCAAATTTTTACCCTTAAAAATCAAAAAAATATTATTGCAGCCGATCGGTTACAGGTCAAATTATTATAGAATAATCGACCGTTTTTGAAGGCCTACAAGAACTAAAATATACCCGATAATATGAAAATGGAGATTATATGGATACAGATAATCACACAACACTGCGCATTCTAGAAACTATTACTTATTATTGAGGATTATTAAAGGTACTGTGACGTGAGCTCGTCGCCGTCGTGTAACCACGCATTGGTCACTATAGAAGGGGGAGGATCCGAACGCTGTCCGAGAATTATATGTAAAAACAATTGTCTGGAAACGGTGCGCACTTACACGTCGGTAGATTTTATACGTTTAAATTTCGCCCGCAGTATTGTTACAAACGTATTAATGCTCCGCTATCGCGTTAATTTGCCGGGCTTATTTCACTATAAATCGATTTCTTCAAATGGACATTGAGTCGTGACTCTTAAAATATGTTATGTTTTCGTTTAACTTTATTTCCCCAACATATTGTTGCCGAAGAATTAGATTTATGGTTCATTACCAATACACTGCGAAACCGCGTTAAATCGGAGCTGCAAAAATTAATAAGCACGTGCGTGGGTTGAAAATATAACAACTAAACAAGCGAAATATCGTACTAGATGTATACTTACAGTATATGAATCTCACATATATGGTACGAAAAAAGAACGATAAATCGTCAAACTAAACGTGAAGAAAATAATATTTCGTCGAGTTTATTAAATTTGTAGTTATTATGTTATTGTAATATTATACGGTTTTATGATTTTTTTTTTCGAAACAATTTCGCTAGAATATCCATGAATTGCAATATATTTCCGTCGGGCTTATTATCTCCGATTTATGTGAATGTGGGTGTGTACGTACGTACGTTGAAAGGATTTTTTGTATTACTATTATTATTATTATTTCGGACAAGAATGTTTTGTCACGGACGAAATCGGCAACCAAAACACACACACAAATGCATATACCATATGTTCATACGTTATGAAAAGAAATACGTACTCATGTAAGATTATTGATCAAAAATAGTTCCAGGCCAGGGTCCGCGGCATTATTACGAAACGAGCGTTTTCGTTAGGTTTTGTATGCCGTAGGGGAGAAACCCTACTCCGCCAACGAATGACGATCCCACAACAAATTGCTAATTCCGATGGGCATACCACGACGAATGCCGCGGTTGGATAGCTACTTAAAAACGAAATCATTGTAGATAGTGGGGGACCAGTGGTAGTGTACCAGGCTAGTAATTCTACTCGTATATGTTTATATATACCTAATATTACGCGAGTTTCAGGAAGACCCGGGACCTATTGATTTTAAAATCCTCATAGATAAACGAGCATCTGTTCAGGGACCTTTTGGCTTCTGGCTCTGATATCGAGCTCGACCCGCACGCGCCATCGCGTGAGCGAATACACAACCAATTAATTTTCCCAACAATTTGTCACGTCTATTACAATATAGGCAGATATGCAATGGCCAATTATTAATGAAGCTTAATCGGCTTCTTGTTCATTTCGATAGATACAATTTAACTTTATTTATCAACAAACGTTTATTGCTTCAAAAATCATTTCGATTTCTTTAATAATTATTTTATTTATAACATGATATTTATTTATTACAATAATTGTAATAAATAAATAAAATAATAATATAAATAAATATATTATTTATTATATTTATTTATATTATTATTTTATTTATTTAATTGACAACAATGTAAATGATATCAATTTAGAGTTACACAAAAAGTCAGATAGATAATTTATAGAGAGGATGTAAATTTACTCGGTAAAAAAACTTTTCAAATATCAAAAGATTTATACATACTAATAATGATATGTATAAAGTTAGCTATGTTATCGTGTAAATACTAAATATGCAAAAAAAAAAGAGCAACTATTTGCAACAATAGTTTCATGATTTGCAACTCAACATACTCAACACGATTAAAATTTAATTACAAGTGGGTCAACTTTACATATCCCTCCAAATCGTCGTATCGAATACAAACCGTTGCCAACATTTTCCGGCTAATTTGTACCTTTTCATGACACCAGCACTTACAAATTTCCAAGGAGTTCAAAATAATTATGATTTTTTTTTTAATTAAAAGAAATCCTCTTTCCGATAGAAAAATACAGTTACGAATTGAGCAATGATTTGCAAATATACTATAGGTATAGTATGACGTTATTATTGTGTAACATTTTTTTCATGATTTACAACTCGATACGTTTCGCCCAAAAAATGATACACCTGTAGAAGACTAGTGATAATATTTGCTGAATATTATAAAAACAGGCAATACAAATCGAAAAAATTAATTACATATCGAATGCTCCTAATAATAATATACAAATAAACCCAAGTTTCAGTTATCTGAACAGCTATTGTTCGGCATCAGACAAATGACTATTAAGCACTGCTGGTAAAATCCATCTCACAGTTGTGTCATACAATATGAGTAAACGGTTTGTAAATAATATTTATAAATCATCCCATTATTTGGTTACTTTCGAAAACTGTTTTCTAATTAATAGTTCTATGTCTTTACTTTTTTGAACCTAAAATATGGACTAAAATAAAATAACTATTCGGTTTTAAACTAATAATTGTTTCATAATTTGTGATAACGTGTTACTAAGTTGTTACTAGTTGTTTGTTGTAACGTCCCTTTAAAACAACGGTTGTCAACCTATTAGGCGTCACAGACCACTATATATTCACACTATATCTATAACTCTAAATTCTACAGACTCATATAAAGTTAGTGATTTTAACGTTTATAATTCAAGATTTTAGGTTTTTGTTCACAGATTTTTTTAATAAATGCTATTCTGCTGATAATTCTTCTATTAAATAAAAATAAATATAAATATTAATAAAATAATAATAAAGGATTTTTTTTTTATTTTATTGCGTTATTGGTAGTTACATTCTTGTATGATATGGGTGCTGTATACCATAAATCTGTCATTATTGATCAGTAAACCAACAGTTAATATAATTTCAAATAGTGTTCAAAATTCTTCACAGCATCCAATATTTTCTCGTTCACCGCTAACATTTTATAGCGAACCACCGATTAGTGATCGCTGCTTCAAAGCAATTACGAGTATTTTATAGTATTTTATTTTACATTTGTGTGAGGTACAAAAATGGAAAAATCATAGTTAAATTGCCTTATAATTATTTTATATACTATGATTTATTTAATTATTTTGTCTTACTATATTTTAACTTACATATAATGACATTTCATATCAATGATATTTTAATAATAGTGTTATATTTTTTAACAAGGATTAATTAAATAAATAATTGGTTAAATGTATCACTAGATATAATTTTAGATTTTATTTAAATGAGTATCTTAGTGATTACATACATATATTTTAAATTATAAAATATATTAGAAACAACATAAAGATATGTTCATTAAAATGTTATGAGCTATGATTAAAGGCATTAAGAAGAGGATTCTCATAAAAAGGATCATGGCTACAGACTTGAAAATGTTCACATAATTAAATATAAAAAAAAAACATTTTTTTTAAACGGATAAAACGATGAATATTATTTGGACAGTAGAACGTATTAATAAATTATACTTAAAATAGTTTTCAAAAATAATGATGTACCATTATTCATTTTCAATATTTTAACTGAATGGATTGGTGTAAAAAGGTGTTTACTGATCTTACTGGTATATCGGTGTCAATTCATGATTCTCAATATTTTTGAAAGTTTCTTCCTCATTAATTTAGGATGCTAAAAATATTGGTGGTATTGTGTTCAAGATTTACTATATAATGGGTTTTTCTTTTAATTTTTTCGATATTTTTAAGTGCTGGTTATCGCATGAAATTATGAGAAATTCTTTTGCCGAAAAATCTTTTTTTGCTAGCAACATATCGATCTGCTAATTATGAAACTATTATTGCAAATAATTGCAAATTAGTTGTTCATTTTTATCTGCACATTTGATATTAATATGATAACACGGGGAGCCAAGTTTACACATGTCATTATTAGTATGTGTAAGTCTTAATATTTGAAAAGTTTTTTTAACGTTTCATAAATTATCTAGTCGAAATTGTTGTATAACTCTAAATGTATATTATTCGCATTTTTCTCAATGTCAATTTTCGATAGTTTAATTGACAGTAATTTTTTTGTCATTTTCATATTAAAAGTGATAGTAATGCAAACATGATATATCTTACTGAGACGTAATTGTACGGAGTCTGCAATAATATTTGTGTGAAACGTGACTTGCCTGATGAAAAAATAACCCAAGACATAATATTCAATAAAATAACCCGATTCTGTATTATATTTATGTTGGATGTATCAAAATATAGTTATAAATTATAAATATATGCAAAAACATGCGTTTATATGGAAAATATGCAAAAATATGCAAAATAAAAATTTGCAATTTAATTTATTTCAGTATGATCGATGAAAATCCATTTACTGTATGCAATTGCTTATAAAAATATGAACATATATTATCTGTAAAATATGGTCTTTAGTTATATTAGATAGATTATCGAATATTAATCATACATTTTTTATAATAAATTTTATTATTTTTTTTTTTTTTTTAATTACAATTAACTTGTTTAGTAATCTGTAGTGGTACAAACTTATACGAGTAAAATGTTTGTATATTTATTTATATTTTATTTACTGTATATTACAACATTTTGAAACTCAAATAAATAAATATAACGTAACAATACAATTTACTAAATAATTTAGTATCTAGATATACAAAATTTAAGTTGTTATACAATTTTCGGTTTTAAATTATTCAAAACTATCAAGTTATGGTTACATCAAAGCGCATACGCTCATAGTTATTTTAATAATAAAAAAGTAAACTTTGAAAATTCGCAAAATAAAATAAATAATATTATGATAATAGAAAGGCAAATGGAACATTTTTTTGTCATTTTTTACACTTTATTCCATGCTTTTTTTTTAATTTTTTTCCTTGATGGATATATTGTTTGAAGAATGATCATAAGTTCTACATTTTTCGACCTTCTATTATATCTTATAAGATATTTCCTATCATGTTTGAATGTTTGTACTTATCATTTAATTGTTATTCGGAAAAGTCAAATATCTCAGAAAAAAAAAAATTCTCTTTTTCATCTACTATATAGAAACGCATAACACGTATAACGTATTCAATCGCATTCGCAGTATACAGTTCACATTATTTTTCAACCACTAAACATAACGGATAAAACGGTTATAATGGAGGCATATATTTTACTAGTTCTATGTTATTTCAAGTCTGAATTCGATTATGCATTTATTCAAAAATATACACAACGATATTACGATTCTATTATATTTTTCTGAAAAATATGTTACTCAAATACTTGATAATCGAACTGTTGTCACAATTCCTTACCTTTTTTCGTGTCCAATTAGAGTTATTTTGAGTGAATGGTATAATATCATGGTTTTCTGAACATGATTTTTTTTAATTTATCATATAAAACAACAGAATGATATAGAATTTTATGTCAAATAACCATGTTCTATACATATATTTTGAGCGCAGAATATTACATTTTGTTTTGTTAAACAAATTCGATATTCGGTTTAAAATACGAAATAGATTTATACGCGACAATTTTAAAATTCATCGTTAAAACGTTATATTGCACTCCAAAGGTATCAAACAGTAACAAATAATGATGATTAATATATAATAATAAGTTACGTATAATAATAATGATTAATAATATGTCTTCGGACATTTTTCTAAAACATAAATGGTCAGAGTTATGGATAAATAATACAACCATAATATTCTGTACTTACATTAGAACTAGGGATTTTTTTCATCTGTTTACAGTATGCATTGACAAGTAATAGGAGAACCTTCTGTTGACGTCGAAAAAAAATAATATATGGAAACGCTCAGCCTTTATACACTATTGTTCCCAATACAAATATACTTCCATGTTTATACTTGCTCAATAGTTTCATTTCAAACATTCTTCAATAATAATGCGTGTAGGGATTGTACCGTACAATACATGTATAATACTTATTGAAAAAATTATATTTTTATCGTTCTATCGTTGAATAAATAGTAATAAAAAGTCCATCTGTATCACATAATAATAAGTGCGGCTGTAACAGAAAACTTGTCAAATAAAAAATGTTTAAAATGTTATTGAACGATTTTCTTAAACAAATTTTTACCTATTTGAATTATTTGTATATGGTTTTTATAAAGAAACTCTAGATTTTTACATTAATACGTACAAGCTTTGATACTCGTCCAATATGTTATCTACCATAATTTGATGATACCTACCATAGGTTCATATTCTGTATATTATATATACTTTATCATTTTGTTTTCATCATGATTAAGCTTTTACAAAACCCCGAATTGTATTATATTTAAACCTTAGTAGGTTAGGTAAGTTAGGAACCTAGGTATAACTTTATATTATACCTGTTTAGTGTGTGTTTGTGACTCGTATCGATTATATGTATTTTTACTGTGATTTATTTATTATTATTTATTATTATTAGTTTGTTAACTATGAGTTATTTATATCTAAATATTATTCAAAATGATGATATCTGCGAAAAATGTTTAAGTAACGAGGTTTATTACCAATCGACTAAACATGTACAAAAATTAAAAACTAAACAATTTGTGGTGGTGAGTTGAAAGAAGTTCTTAAAAAAAAAAATCATTCTACGTAGCAATCAGAAATACGTATACATAACTACACGGTAGTTAAAATATTTACAGTAAATAGCATACTAAACTATTAAATATGCGGTAGATAGCATATCGGACGAGTACCCACGCTTTCAGTTATCTTTTTGACGAAGTCTTAGTTTTAATCGTTTGGTTATTTATTCTCCGCAGTTACCGGAAATATCAATCATTTATTTACAAAACGATTAAAAATGGCTGCTATTTTTACACAACAGTAAATTCTATTTTGATAGGCCTTAAATTTGATACTTCTTTTACACACCATTTTAGAAAACAAACATTTCACATTATAAATGTAAGTATCATCTTTCTTTCCTTCATTATACTGTAATTATTCGTGTAATATTATTGGTTTTAACGGTCGAAAATGTATTCGTTTTAGATTGGTCTGGTACTCAGTAGCATATTATATACAGCTGTAATTCTACGAGTACTAAACATTCCTTGTGTTTAAACACTTTTCTATCCAGTTGGATTAAACTGTTCGAATATTATTCCATCCTGGTTTCTGATACCTTTCTAATATAATTTTAATGATTCAACAGGGTCTTTCAGAAATTATCTTTACGGTTTCTTGAGGACGGTTGTTTTATTTTTAGATTGCTGTACTCGATTTAAAAACTAATTCCGAGCGCTACTTATTTGCGTATCTTCGTCCTTAATTCAAATTGTCTCGTTTCTGTAGTACATTGTATTATAATTCGATAGTTTTCTCTTGGCTTTGGGTATTTAATAATGTGGAAATATTCAACTTTCACGCAAACTTTTAACATTAATAAAATGATATTCTTAAAGTCACTGCTGTTATTTACTTCGGTGGTAATTTATTCTCCTGTCATCGAATGGAATAATGATTCAAATAGTAATTTAATAATAGTGTATAGTGTCGAAGTAGACTTTCGCGTAACACCTCCAAATCAACGAAAATCCTTTGTTATTTTATAAAAAGTATTATCCAATATTATCTATTTCCATAATAGCTATTATAAACACGCTTTTATCTAACCTTTGTACAAATTTCACATTTTTGCATTTAAAGATGCAACATTCAAGTGTATTGATTTTTTCAGTTCTTCAAAATTCTTTGGTAATATTGTATAGTGTGAATTTTTATTAATTTATTTCATTTGATTATGCTCGGAGAACCCCGCTTTTATTTAATTTTTTCTTATTAAGCCATATTCGGATCAGAAAAAGATAATGTTAAAATTTTTCTTTCAGGCCCAAAAAAATAAACAAATAGTTACTATTTAAATATTTAATGAATAAGTAATAACACATATGATAGAATGGTATAGAATTCCAAACTTAGTAAATTATCATATAATGTAAGTAATTTTTCAAAATTAATATTTTTGTAAACATTTTATGTTTAATAAAATTTAAAAATTTCATTCTGGTTTTTCTTTCTGTATACCGAATGAATACTATAGGTCTAGTATCTGTAATTTTCAATAAAGCATTATGCTAGATTTGTAATTATTATCTTATGAAATCAATATAATTCATTATAGAAATTAATATGAACAGTGTTAAAATTGTTATGTAACCTATATTTAAACTGAACATAAGTCGAACATTACATTTATCCTGTTTCCAGTGTGTTGTAAATATTATTCAGAGCAAGGAGTTCTGTTTGTGGATATTTTAATTTAAGCTAGACCAGACCTTGTGTACGATCCCGAAATGAAAAAGATTCATCGTTGTCAGCGACGTATTTTAGGGAGGTGGCCATAGAAGCAATCGCCCCTTCCCTGAAACCATATTTAAGAAATAAATTATATGTGAGATACAGATTTCAAATTTTTTTAATGTGAATTATTTTATAACGAAATAAAATTTCACGTGGCTGTGAATACTGAATCGGGCTTTTTGTCGAGTTCATACTTAATGAAAAATCAAACAAAACACAAGCGTAACTTTCAATACACAGACAGGTGTTTTAAAAGAACTACACAGAAGTCGATTCTAAGTGCATGAGATTAAAAAAAAACCACAATTATTAAGGATTCACCTGATTTAAATATTACCAAAAATGTTACTTGTAAAATTTGAGCCTGAATTAAAAAAAAAATTTAATTTATCCCCCCCCCCCCCCCAAAAAAAGTAGATAAGTCTAATTTCGCCCCTGATCATTGTTGCTATAAAAGTGATTGTAGAAGTTATCTTTTCGCGGTCACGATCGTTAAACGAATCCACGTATGATGGTACATTGCGGATGGGTTACCATTATAAAAAACTTGAGTAACATGAGAATATATCTAGAGGGGCACGTCGGATTGCGATGGAATCAAAATTATTAAAACCGTTTACATGGTTCCGAATAAAACGATTTGCAATTTTTTAAAAATCAGTAACAGCGAAACATTTTTTATTAAACTTTTCAATCGTTATTATTATTGCGCTAACGCTTAACTATTCGTTGTATGATTGCAGGCATGAAGCCGCGTATGAAAAACCACTTCCGGGCTCATCAGTTGTCCGTGTGGCTGCGACTGATACCGGAACTGCACCGGGCCGGCATGGAGGACGTGATGTTGCGGCACAACCTGTTCCGGAATCATGACGACGCGGACCTGTACGAGGGCGTGGTTAGGCCGGACCCGCTGTCCAGACGGGCACCTCAGCAGGCCACAGTGAACCGTTTCACGGCCAACGGTACGGTGGCCGAGGTGGTGCAGTCGTTGACGACCACGGAGCGGCCGCAGTGGCCGGCCGAGACGACCACGTGCGTGCCACCGGCGCGTGGTCCAAACGCGTCCAACGCGTCCACATCGGCCGAGGACGCGTTAGCTACGCTGGGCGCGGCCGGCTACGCTGCGTACTCGACCGCACTGCACGTGACCATCGCTTTGGGTGTGTCGCTACTGGTACTCAACGGGCTACTGCTGGTCATCATATGTTACCAGAAGGACCGGTTTAAGTGCCTGCAGCATCAGCAGCATCCCGGCAGCGGTGGCGGACTCCAGGAGGCGGCCGACCACTGCCAGAAGTCAGTCAGGTACAAGGCGGCCGCGGTGCCGGACGACCGGGTGCAGCTGTCCGTGGAGAAGTCCGGATACGACCAGCAACATCAGCATCACCATCATCACCAGCAGCAGCAGCATACTCCTGCGGACGTGGTGGCGGTGGAAATGGAGCAGAGGCATCATCACCATCACGTCGGCCACCACCACCATCACCATCACGTACCGATCGCGGTCGGACCAACGCCGCCGCCGCCACCGTTGGCGCAGCAACATCACATGCAGCAGCAGACGAACGCGACGGCCGTGCGCATGTCCGCCGGCCACGACATGACGTTCCCGAAAGCGACCAAGCCGAGATCGACCGCGTTGCACGACCACCAGGCCGGCCCGCCTAACGGGTCCGTGGTGCACGGCACGCTGCCCAAACCGCCACCACCGCCCAGGTCGACGGTGGCCCAGTCGCAAGAGTCGCAGCCGCTCCTGGTGCAGCAGGGGGGCGTGGGCCTGAACCAGTTGCCCAAGACCGGTACGCTCAAGATGCCAGTGGCCGCCATGAGTGAAATGAGGGTGTGACCACCGACACCGCATCCACACCGGACACCTTGCTCCCCGACCCGTTTGCCTCGACGAGTTACGTGCCGTCCGCACCTGTACATATCGCGACATTATTATCGCTACCGACGGGGTTACCGCGACCACTTTACCGAGGACACGTCGTCGAATCACCGTCGTCCACGCGCCTCGAATATCGCAACGATGTTTCTAACTGCGTTCAAATGTTTTACGATACTATTACCGAAAGATGTAATTACTTATGTTGTGTTTTACGTAATTTCATTATTTCATACGTACTATCGATTGCGGCAATATAGTTTATAAATATGGAAAATAAAACGATCAATCAGTACAGATCGCGAACGATCAGATCGATTACCAACAGATCTGTGAGGTAGTAATAATAATCTATGCCCCTTATTAGGTATGTATACATCCGTACGGTGGGCAGTAACAATAGTTATTACATTTGAATATACAAAGAAATTTTTTTTTAAAATTGATTCGAATGTTTTGGTGATATTTCAATGACTACGTATGATATCGATATTATTATCTCGGACGGTGATGTCGAAGATACGAATAAAAAATGCGTTTAATTAACTTTATGTATATAAATATATAAATCATATTATTATTATTTCTCACCCACGCGATTGACCGAACCCTGCTGCAGTTTTTGCTTAGGATTTCTAGTTTTGTTATCAAATGTTTTCAATGTCCTGTATAATTATACGTTTATACACGTGATTTGAATAGTTCCGGTTCTCGTCCCGCTGCCGATCGACTAACTAATAACGATCAAACGGTACTGATGTACGACGACGACAAACAACGTGTGTCGATTACCCGGTGTATCGTTATGGCGTGCGATTTCCACGTGCGTGAAAACGATCGAATTCAGAACACTGCCTACCTTCCCCGCCTTCTCCCTCTCAGCCAATTACTTCGTTTATCGTCGTGCTGTCACGTGCGAGAAAAAAATATGACACTTGCAGTTATTCTTGCATGAAGACAACCGATCAGGTAACTTGACAGAATACTCACAATGTTTACGCGGATCGACGGAGAAAAATTAACGGAAAAATATTTTAAGACCGAAATGAAAAAATAAAAAAAAATAACAACGAAATACGCTAAAAGCTAATTTTAGGAGGAAAAAAATTAAGACTAGGAGTTAGTCTGCATTTACGTACGAATGTGTACATGAACGTACGACATGTACGCGTATATCATTAGGGTGACCCGTATTTTGTGTCTCGTTGTCCCAACAAACTTTTAACAACACTTGTGTCCCGTCTCAAATCTATGTCTAGTTTTTTATGTTCACAATGTTACGAGCTTGCTTTGAAACACCCAGAGATATTAAATTCAATATGTTCTTTGGATCAGTACAGAAAACAAATAATGTAAAATTCAGAAAAAAAAACAACTAAACCAATTTCCTTATTTTTTCAAAGTAAAATATAATGTAGAATACGTTTTTTTGAGAATTTCAAATTGTTACTTAATGTTTTTTAACCGATAATGTATAACATTGAAAATGAAAATGCTTAGAAAATGAGAGGCTAACAACTAACAGAGTTTCATTTATATTTTTTCATAAAGCATATAGTATAACGAAACTTACGCATACATATTTTGACGTTTGTGCAACGATTTGCACTCGAAGATCTTACGCGTTTTAACGGTATTCAAATGAGTAGTATTACCATCGGTACACCGTGAGTATGCGTACGCATTTCACGACGTAGGTCCTATTTCTTGCCCGGCAGGGATTCGCTACGCTGATCCCAAAAGTTCCGTTTTATTTTCCGGTTTTATTTAGAGCAGAGCACATGCCGAGGGAAGAAAAAAAAATGTTATTTCTATTAATGAACTAGGATCGTGTACAGACGCAGATGCAGCAGAGGTATGTACGTGTGTACGACCATTTACTCGTTTCCGTTTTAATATATGAACTACTCAGACGCAACGTCCGACGCCGTTAAATTTCGCTAGTGCGGAACCGCGAATTAACAAAGATTAAAACTTTGTCCGTCGCCGCCGTTAAAATTGAACATAGCCTCGTCTCGTAGATGCCAATAAATTCGCGACACACACGTCTCTTTACAACATAATAAAACACTTTTGGAATTAAAATATTTCCACGTTTTATGTTTATGTATGCGTGTCCTCTGAACAACGTATGCTGAGCATAGATCCGTTATATTTTCGATTTAATTCCGGTTTTATGGTCATAATACTTCGCGTTTTCTATCAGATGTTCCTGTTGGTTTAATTACGATCTTCGTATAAATGTTTTAATGAAACAATGACTTACAAAAGTTTGCCCGTTTATCATCGTACGTATAAAATCCATTGTTGACATCATTTGCGCTCGCTTCAGATGACCGAGAGATGATATTCCGTTGAATTAAAAAGAAATCTTTTTCAATTTTTTTTGCATTTTAAAATATATAACAATGCAAACGCCGTACATACGCACTCTTGTTTCGTTTAGTTAGATGTTTAGGTGTTATATAAACATTGTACAGGTTATATTGATAAGAAAGGTTACATTGTCACACGTTCATTTGATAAATTATGTGCGAAAAAAGCATATGTGTTTGCGTGTGCTTTTTCTTCTTCTAGCATCTATAATGTACAGTTGGCGTATTATGTTTGAATTATTCAGTTGAAAGAAATGTCAAATATATTTTATAAGCGAAATATTCTAAAACTTATCGACTTAATTAATGATAATAACACTATAATGGCATCACCGAAACAGTTACTTAATTAAAATATTTTGCACATTTTTTAAAACGATTCTTAAAAATAAAAATCTATGAAATTAGAGAAATGGAATAACTGATAACACGGTATAGAACGAATCAAACAAAAAAAAAATACAATATTCTTTTTATCCCATGGTTTCTATATTGATTCAAAAGCTATTTTTCTCTCCAACTACGAACACAATAATAAAACAAAAACTTTTCTTATTACTTTGATCGTATTAAAAGTTTGTTATAATTTATTTAACAAAAAGGTTTAAATGATTTTTTTTTAAAAAAAATCTTTGGAAAAAAAGAAGAATATATGTTTAATCTTCGTTTTTATTGTAATATTATTATGTATCGAACAAGGAAAATAATAGTAAATAATACTGATTACAAGTAAAATTATAAAACATGTTCGTTAAAACTTTTATAATTTAATAAAATATTTTCCGAGTGCATGTACTTGTACGTACATTAATTAGTAAATAATAAGTATTAAGTTCTGAGAGCATAGTGCGTATTATATATTGTTGTACAATAGTAATTATGACGTAACCTGTAATCATACGTCCTAACTCATGCGTGATTTATTTTTGAACTCAAAACTCAAAGTCGAAAACAACTTCAAGAGAATTCGGAGTATTGTAATAGAAATGTTATCATTATTCAATAACCGCGAACAATCAAGAGCCGTATTGCGGGGGGTTATTATTTTCCAATTCTGTAAGAAAATTGTTATAATCGAAAGCGTTTTTTTCGGTCAGTAAAATGCGATATTGGTCCAATGTGTTTGTTGTAAACGAAATATTTTTTTCACTTTAAACTATTAGTTTTAATCCAAAAATTGTAATCGAAACGTTTCTAAATATATAATTCAAAGCGCATTACTAAATAGGTATTATTACATACCATCGATGTGTTTATTCTACCGATAACGAAAAAGCAAATTAAATGTATTGTAGAATTTCTTGAAAACGCGTTTGGCTGGTACGAATAATTAACTTTGATGAAAATCAAAAACCTTAGTTTCCACGATTCGTGAAATGTCAACAGCACGATTTCCAAGTGAAACGTTGCGTCCAATAGTTTCTACGAGAAATAAATTTAAACAGCCCGCGCAGGTGCCCATTACGTGTTGTAAATAAGTGAACGGTAATATTAAACGCAATTTAAACAAGAACAGTGAAACAAGCTGTCAGAAAACTTTTAATATTTTTAAACGTAATTTATTCAAGGACACTGCGCGTCGCTCTAAAATATACAATTATATATATAGTGTATACATAATATTAAAATTAGCTTACTCTCGTATAAATTTGTGAATGATTAATTGCATTTTGAATTTGAAAATAACTTAAATTGTTTAGATTAAATATTTTTTTGATTTCACAGTCGTAAAACAATTACAATATAATTGCACCAAGATTCCAAAGAAAAGGTTTTGATTATTTTCAATGTTTTAATAGTAGTTGTATAATACAATGCATGCAATCCGTTCGCGTTTGTAATGAATGAGGTTTTCATTATAGCATTATCGCCGTGGCACAACGATTTCTTCGGTTCGACCACGAAAACCGCCAGTTAAATGTTTCATGAAAATATATTCGTAAACGTGATATATGCAATTAATACATTTTATTATGTTGTGTATAGCTTTTGTATGTGTATTATTATGTCAGAAAACTGATTGCATTACTAATATACGTGATTGGACCATGTTCACTGTGTATATAATATATGGTTGTAAATTGAGTTTTCGTATATTTTTGTTTTTGTTATTTATATATATATATATATATATATACGGAAATGAAAATTAGCAATTACGATATTATTGTAAAGTATTTTGTAAGTAGTATATATTTATAAATGTCTATCACTGTTAAAAAATAAATATACAAAACATTGTAAACTTAAACTATCAAATGTTATTATTGTAACTATAATTAATACATTGTTAAGAAATCATTATTATTATTAATATTATTTTAATTATTATTATTTCATTATTAATACAATTAATTATTATATTATAACTATGATAATTATGGTAATATTTAATAAATATCCGTTGTGCATTTATAAAAATGTTTACCTACTTATTTATCCCATCGACAAACTTTATCGATTAATAATGTAATGAAGCGAGAAATGTTTGAACCCATGCAATTTACTGTGGAAAAATTAAATGAAAATATGAATTGTTGGCTTGTTATCCTGTAATAAGGTCCTATTACATTGTTCGTTCGGATAGAAAGCGTAATATTGTTATATTGTCGCAATCTGAAAAAAAAACCACTTAGACGTACTACTACCAGAAGAACGTTCAAAATATTATGCAAGTTAATCATATGTACATGTTCTCGGAAAAGTAAAGGAACTACCGTATAATATAAAATTCGGCTTTAAATTTCTATATGACTATACATAAATTGTATGTTTCATTGTTTATTTCCATGCACTACGTTTCCTAATATTACAAATCACTGTTATCGTAGTAAGCACAATACTAGGTAATGTCGTAATCCATATTCTCATGTAGGCACTGAATTTCATAACATTTGAATATCAAAATAATTTGAAACTAGATTGGATTAATTTAATTACATTAATAGAATAAAGTAGTAAAAACTACAGTAAAAATTATTGGAAAATAAGTTGGTTAAATGATTTTCGTAGAAATGAGTTCTATAGTTGTTTAATAATGATCCACTTGAATTATTTTCTTAATAGGTTCAGCTATGATATTTAGACATACGGAGGTATAAAAAAAAAAGGCTTAGAAAGATTTCATGTTACTTTCGACGTATACTGATAAGTGGGAAAGAGCCAATGTGCATTTGTCATTGTGAATGTTTTGAAAATTGTGATTTTCTTATCAAAATAAAGTAAAAATCAACCAAAATTTGATCTCTTTTGAAGTGAGTAACAAATAAGTTCATATCGAATGATATTAAGACCTATTACATAATTTTAAATTTTGAATACAAGAACTTAATAAATTTTATGAACTTTAGAGAAATTTACAAAGTATGTGTACATAATACATATATAAAAAATATTTTAATTGACGTTTAAGCTTGTTTAATATTTAATGTGTTATATTAAAATAAAAAAAGTTAGGTATTGAAATATTTCACATTCCATTAAAGATCTACTTACACATTATCATTTATAATAACTAGATACGTAGAGTGTTTTGGACTCATGTTATACGAGTTCCAAATAATTATTACCACGTACCAAATGTTAATTTTGTTTATTCTGATCGTAATTCTTAATAAATTTGTTAACTTCTAACATTAGACATCATGAAAAATTTCATATATGTGGTTTTACATTGGCTTATGTTTAATAATTTGTCATTTTGCAAACATAAATATTCCATATCTCAATATAATTTTTCCAAAAATACTCGAATCCCAGTTTATTTGATGTTCTTTCAATTTGCATTTATTCATAATTATATAGTTATAGGTACTATTTAGTTTATATAGCAATTTAGCAAAACACTTATTCAAGAATTGTATACACTGAATAAATTCAGGATAAAGACTGATCAATATTAAAAACTTGTACAAATTGGTTTATGTCATTTTTATTTACAGCATAATACTTACTTTGATTAAATGTATATTATGATGATTTTATCGCCCTATAAAATAGATAAC